TAGAGAGGAAAGGCGCAGGCGTCGGACATTGGGCGGACGGACTTGGGTGTTGGTTGGAGGAAGGAACGGATGGGCGCTTGGATGTGTACTACCCTTTCATCTGCGACGACCATCTTCGATACCACGCATACACTCTGTGCCCTGGCTTCTCAGTTCAATTGGCAGAGAACTATACCATGCTACTCTGATCTCGTGGCAAGCAGGTCGACTCGGTGTGAAGTAAGTTTAGCACCAATATTCGCATGTCGCGTATATGTGACCAAGTATTTACTGACTTGCTGCGACTATAGGTTTCGTTGATTCCCTCGATGCATTGTCTAGAGCATGGATGCTCAGACGCCGGCTAGAGCTGATGTGATAAACGGTCTACGACCGGAGTCAGCTGGACGCAGGACGAAGCGACTCTTCCCGAGTTCGGTGTGTGCTCTGAGAGTACACCTCTGCTCTGCGAGATCCAAGAACCCTAGTCTTTTACCCGCCGCAGCCCGACACGCGCAGTCGACGAGCGACTTAGCGCGGACCATACGAAGGCGCCCCGGTACCTTGCCGCGCTGTGTGATTCGGGCAAGTCTTGGACGCTGACGCTGACTCTGAACCGCACCCGCCGGCGTCTTGAAGGGGTTCCCCGGGAGTCTGCTGAGGCACCCATTGGTTTGAACCCGGTCTCAATGACGAATTTGTGGTCCACGGCCGCCGTTTGTGCGCGCAACTACAAGTGTTTGAGACGATTCGTGCGTCCACCGGTGACTATGCCGTCCGGCAGGTATCCTGAGCGTTCGCGAAGGTGTCCTGACTGAATTGAACGTACTCGCTGCGGCAAAGAGCTTCGAAAAGCCTTTGGCCATATGCGTGCCGAGCGTCATGAGCTCGCAGTATGTGTCCCGAATTACACCACCTCGTGCACGGCCGAGGCAAATTGACCGCTCTGACGTCCGCAGCTAATGACTCTAATCTCCGTAGGCGTTCTATGAGGTGAGTAGTGTGCTCTATAATTGTAACGTCGCTAATTTTGGAGGCTTTAGCCTTGTGTAGATCTTGCGCCCACTCTTATCGATGCGCCGAACGAATGTTCCGTATACTGCCGCCATTGCATGACCTGGGACCAGCGGAAACTGAACATGAGTGTACTGGTGAGTGTGCGCAAGAACTCGGAAATCTCTACTTCTTCCGGCCAACCAAAACAAAACATGACGTCGTTGTCTACGTTCACACCCGGGACGCTCAATGACGCTCTGCATGTGGACCCTGGCGCCCCCGATACGTGCCTGCCGATTCTACCATCTCCTGCCAGGCATGGAATCGCGTCTATTTTTTCTCATACTCACCGGTTTCTCGTCGTCTCCCTCAGAACCACTTTCGAGCTTCCCGCGGTTCCGAAGCATCTCGACACTCCTTCTCCGGACTGATGCAAGGCGGTCTCACCATGAGGGATGTCCGGATATGATGCCCTGACGGGCTTCACTGTGCGAGGGTCGCAATGATACCAACCACGAGCATCGTGAAAAGTCGGGGTCGCATTTGTTAGTGCAGAGCGCAGAGTTCGTCCTCCGTAACATCGCCGCGATCACGGCAGCCCCAGCTGCATGCGTGCATTCGGAATACGCAACATCGCCACAGACATCACCGCCGGCAGCATTGTGAGGATTTGCGTGAATGCCCACGATCCCTGGGCGCGGCCGTGCTAGCTTGTGTGGCGTGCCGGAGATCGCTGTGCTGGCCATGGTAAGGATGAACGTAGCGCTCCGTGGGTGGAAGGTTGTGCGGGGTAGTGTGAGCACAAGGTCGACGCGGCACGCGCGGGCAGGAGTGCACTTCGCCGGTATGGTTGGCGTTCGAGGGCGCAGGGGTGAATGGGCTCTCTAATTCGGGAGCGTACGGGAGGCGTCGTGGACCATTGTGCAGAATGGGCGGGTGGACTTCCCTTCTACGATTTTGAAGTACGTCTCAAGGGCGGTCGGGGCGCATGTATAAAACCAAGGTGCGTCGAGGCGTTGGACGACAGCAGCAACGCCCTCGAGTCGCGCTCTCTTCTCTCCCGCCTCAACTTCTCACCTCCTTCGCATTCGCCCCCTCAGACTTGGTTGTAGCTCCAGCACCGCGTTCGTCATGAGCAAGTTCCTTACCGCCGTCCTTTGCGCTGTCCTGTACGGCTCCTTCGTAACCTCAATCCCGCTCAGCAACGTCTCCGCGTTCTCCGCTACGTCCTCGAGTACTGCGACATCGTCCCCGGTGTCGATCTCAACGACTCAAGGCAGCAGCGGTGTGGGCACGTCTACCGCCAGCAGCGTGGCCGCACCGAGCCCGACGGTCCCGTATGCCAGCGACGACGCGAATTACTGGCTGTGGAACGAGACGACGAAGACGGACCCCCAACCTGAGCGCGGCAAGCTTGGCGCGAACATCCTAGGCCCACAGAACGTCCCGATCGACAAGCAGAACCCGGACATCCTCACGCCCCCGACCACCGACCAAGGCACTGTGTAAGCCACGTTCATCTCTGGTATCTGCATTGCGGAGAGAGGCATTTGCGCTAACGAGCGGATTGCTATGGGAACGCTGGAATGGCACAGTGGAAATGCCAAGTGGCCGTTCAGCCTGAGCAAGAACCAGTTGAATACTGGCGGATGGGTTCGCCAGCAGAACGGTATGTGGCGTCGTCTCGCAAAGCTGACGGATTACTGACTGAGGCGATGTCAGTGCAACAAATGCCTATTGCCAAGGGTGAGTATCACGCTGTGGGGTATGGCGAGCCAGGGGGTGCTGACGTGGGTTGGCTGGGCAGCGATGGCCGGGGTAGATATGCGCCTGGAGGCCGGCGCCATCCGCGAGCTTCATTGGCACCAGACAGCCGAGGTAAGTAGGCGGGCAACCACTCTTGTATACAATTGGGATGCCGACTGACCTTGTGCTGTTTATAGTGGGCTTACGTACTCAGTGTACGTGGCTAGATATCTTGCACGCCTGCCAAGACATGAGGCTGAATGGGGCGTCGTTGACCTGCTTTCATAGGGCTCGACACAAATCACGTCTGTGGACCAGTACGGGCGCAACTACGTCGCGACGGTGAACAAGGGCGACTTGTGGTATTTCCCGCCTGGCATCCCCCACTCCCTTCAGGGTACGAACGACACCGCAGAGGGAACAGAATTCCTTCTTGTACGTATCCGAGAAGCTGCTCTTGTGGCAGGATTATGTATTGATGATGTCTTTGTAGATCTTCCCTGACGGGACGTTTAACGACGATGACACCCTTCTGGTGAGTGCTCTATATAATGGGTCCCTGTTTCTGCTCGAGGAAGACTGATGTACGGCTCGGAATAGCTTACGGACTGGCTTGCACATACACCGAAGGAGGTCATTGCGAAGAACTTCCAGGATTATATGATAGATTGGGATATGATCCCCGGCGAGCAGCTCTACATCTTCCCAGGCAGTAAGTTCAACTCCTACCAACAACCTATCGCAAGAAATATTTACACTCTACGATGCTACTTAGCGGCCCTTCCTGATGACCAGAAGCCACCAAAGAGTCCCGCAGGAGAGGTTCCAGAACCATTCTCGTACGAATTTTCCAAGATACAGCCAACGCAGTACACGGGAGGAACGGTGAAGATCGCGGACTCGACGACGTTCCATGTCGCGACCGAGATCGCTGTCGCGGAGATCACGGTCGAGCCGGGAGCGATGCGCGAGATGCACGTAAGTATTGGCTCTGACGATATATGCGAGGTTGTTTGATGTTCACGGCGGACTTCCTTCGTTGTATTAGTGGCACCCGACTCAGGACGAGTGGGGTTTCTTCCTGTGAGTCGCACTATCCCGGAATCCTTGTTGTGGTCACTGACAATATGATTTCAACAGCGAGGGTACGGCTCGCGTGACTCTCTTCGCTGGCACAGCCATCGCGCAAACCTTCGACTACCAAGTCAGTACCTCGGCCCCTCTAACGCTCGCACAGCACAAAAATTGACCGTCTATTTGCAGCCTGGTGATATTAGTTACATTCCCACTGGTTACGGTAAGCACTCTACCGTATTTTTTGATGTGCTTCTCACGTTTACCGGGTCATCAGGCCATTACGTCGAGAACACGGGCAACACGACCCTCAAGTTCCTAGAGATTTTCAACACGGATGTCTTCCAAGACGTCAGCCTTGCGCAGGTCAGTACCCAACGCCGCATTGCGCACCTGGACGAGAAGCGCTGATGCATGCAATGGTGAATGCATAGTGGCTCGCTTTGACGCCCCCGTCGCTGGTGAAGCAGCATCTCCACCTCTCGGACAGCACCATCGCCAACTTCAACCGCAGCAAGGGCGTCGTCGTCGGTGGACCTGGTGCCAAGGTGTCTGCCTGAATACCTCAGGGTATCGTCCGCGGAGAACTGTTCCCACAGTATGCTGCGGCGCGGCGAGTGCTTTCACAACCCCACAGCCTAGCGTCTAGACTTCCTTGTGTCTCTCAGGACAGAACTTTCGGTTCGCGCCTGTTTGCTTAACGCTACAGCATTCTATATAACAGCGTGTACTTAACGACTCGTAACGGACTGAACGTTTTGTCGTAGTTCTAACTATTTCGTAGTGTCCTTCAAGCGCGAATGCCCGCCGCGAGTCGTTTATCGCGGTACATGGTCATCATTAGAAGAGGAAATCTCAGCAATAGCCTCCCACGGTCGAACACCATAAAACTTATGGCGGTGCTAAGAAACGCCCGTGGCATCAAGGTTCGCTCGAAGCGATTGGGCCGCACTCACTACTTCAATCGCTTCCTTAACTACTCCCAATGTATTCCTTTGGTACACATTCTGCGTCGCAACGTACTCAGAGCGATATATACATATATGGTTTTAGGCGACTGATCCACGTATCAGCAGGTCGATCAAAACATTCTAGGGCGGTCAAGGGATAGTGCGGCTGCAAAAACAGTACACACGTATGGTGGTGCAAGTGAACGCTGATCTGAACCAGGCTTCGGACACTTGACTCGTCGGAACAAAAGGAAGAGGCGCTACCAGGGCTCGAACCTGGGTTTTGGGAACACTCATCGAATGATCAGAATCCCAAGTGATAACCACTACACTATAGCGCCTTGCCTTTGCCCGTTATAATAACATTGGTCGCGATTGGAAGCTCAGCACGGCTGAGAGGCTTCACGGATAGCACAACTGCAGCAAGATGGTGCTACCACCGTGTCTCTGCTCCTCACAGCTTCTCCAGTAGTTGCACGACAACCCGGTACATGGCGAGCCCCATTCACTTCACAAGGGAGGGTACTTTGCTAAAAGCACAAGCGCGCGTGCATTGTATTGCAGTCTACGCAGGGATACGAGAGTGGTACCAGAGAGGGAAAGAGACAGGCCGGGGCGAGCAGCGCGAGCGACTATACTATAGGACCGAGTAGAGTGGAACTGATAACTTGGACGTGGCGATGTTAATACGGAGAGGAGTGGTACAGCAGGCATGACGAGACGAGACGATAACGGCAAGTAGAGACGGGAAGGGTGGGTCGGCGTATTGTATAGTATAAGAATGGGGGGATGAGCTGAGGTGGGGGTGCTAGTGGAGGCGGGGTTGATGAGAACGGGGTCGGGGCTGTTCATCAAGGCAGCGGGACACAGCCGCTCGTAGGAAGGGGTGGGATCGAGGTCCAGTGGTTCAGAAGTGATCAATGCGATCCTAGGCAGCGCCCAGGACCCAAGTATGAGTGGTGAAAGGGGAGCCTTGTGGAAAGGGTATTGTCGTAGTCGTTCACCGGTCGATATCCATCCTGCTGCCCGCGCCACCCCGACGACGGCCGCGCCCCCCACGACGTCCGCGACCTCTGGTGGGGGCCTGGACATAGTCCTTGGGATCAGCGCCCGGCGGTGCGATGAGGACAGTTGCTCGCGCGTCCTTGCCCAACAACTCATCTGACCGCAACTTCCTACAAGCACAAGGAAGCAGTCAGAATGACAGATCCCACGATGCGTTGTCACGGATTACTCACGACCCAGAGCTGGGAGCGTCGTCGCTCATGAGGACATCCACGCTACCCTCGACGAGCGCGGCACCAATACGGCCGGAGAGTGTCGCGTTGACACCGCCGACGATCTTGACCTCAAGCGTGCGCCCGTCCGCGGGCTGGCCGTGAAACTTGGCGACGGCGGCCTGGGCATCCTTCTCGTTCTTGTACGTGAGGCGCACGACAGGCTCGGGGTTGTTGGAGTGGAGCACGGCGGAGGTGATCGCGCCGCAACGCTTGAATATGGCCTGTGTCCCTCGGTAAGGCAAAAACAGACGGAATACTCGAAGAGATTGGTACGCACCTCGACGTCGGCAGCCGTTGTGCCCTTGGCGAGGCCTGAGACCTGCACTACGTTCCCTCGCGAGCTCGCGCCCTTGATAGACAGACCACCCTTCTCGCCAATCGCCTCACGCAACGCCTTGTCTGCGATGCCGAGATTGAGTTTGGGAGCAGACGAGGGCGCGCTGGTGAGTCGTGCGCTGAGCGAGCGAGGTTCAGCGTTGAACATGTCGTGTTTCCATGTGTCATTCACGTCGGCTTTTGGCGGACGTTGGTTCCGGTTCTGAGGAAGGCGCGTAGAGAGGCGAAGGTGAGGAAGGAGGGCGCGTGAGGGGAGAGGGGAAGAAGGGACGCACGTATGGACCAGAAGATGCTGCGGCACGATTCGACTTTGAACGAACGGGGCCGACGGCGGGAGCCGCGCCCGGAGGAAGACTGATGCGCTCAAGAAGAGAGGCCATGGTGTAGGTAGGAGAAGTCGAGAGTGTGTGAGACGACGAAGAGAGGGAAGGAGGAGGTGGTGGCCGTCTGTGGTCAGAGACAAGCGACGACGATTGAGCGTAGCCACCGCCACCCCTTCCCGTTCCCTTGTTTGGTTTCGCTTGGCACTGTTCCCATGCGCACCCCATACTTGTACCTCCGGGATTCTCGGAGTACCCTTTGCTTTCGAGAGTGAACAACCTATCGTCAATGTCCTACCTCTCCGCTCAGCTTAGGCATGCGGCTAATTCTCAATCTCATGGGCGACGCTATCCTTGATTAGCCAAGCATTCCTCAGTCGAACAGAATACATTCGAGTGCTCCCCACTATCAACCTGCGTCTGATCTGCATCTGCGCTCAAACTTTGTCCATCTCACTGCCTCGTAGCAGGACATCTCACTGCCTCGTAGCAGGATCTCGACCTCTTTCTGTCTCATAGAAGGGTCCTTCGTGTGGCGTGGCGTGTACAGCATGTGGTCTGGCTGAGCTGCAGAAGTGATATAATTCAACTCGACCACCTCATCGTAAAAACCCCCGTCACGTCTTCGACCGGGGTTGATACTACTGATCATCGCAGCCTATCCTCCAACGAGTATGCCACCTACAAACGACCTTGAACAGCCCAAGAAGGACCCCACGTCGACATCAGATGCGATGCAACAGGCACAAAAAGCCCTCGATTCCGCAGCCAGGCCGGCTCAGCCTGGCGGCATAGGTAAACACTCTCTCGATAGGTACTTCCACCGCCCTGGGTTCGTGCTGATCTGAGTCTATGTTCAGGTCGTGCCGAGAAGGAACTGGTTGAAATTGTCGATGCAACTAGTCAGGCTGCTAGTAACAGTAGCGGTTGGAACATCTTGCTCGATGGCGTCAATGCTCTCGTCGAGAGCCTACCACCGCTTATCCGCACTCTTGACGTCCTCGCGGGAGTTCATCCGTTTCTCCGAGGTATGTGCTGCGGTATACATAGTTCGCACTGTCAGCTCACACAGCATATCAAGTTGCCGTTGACGCATTCAAAGTCGTCGTCGAACTCGAGATCAAGAGGCACGATAACGACAAGAAGATAAACCTACTTTTTCTTGAGATGCGGAATATGATGTCCGTTCTACTGCAGTAAGTCGCATGTGTATCTGATTCACTTGCAACCGGCTACAACGCTGGCTCTATAGACTACAGGGAGTGCGTCCTAATCACGTCGGACACGACGGCATCTCAATTGGCGAGAGAATGGACGAGCTGGTCCAACAGACCGCGAACGACATCAAGGAATGTGCCAATGCGTGCGACGCGTACGCTCGTAAGAGACTCCTCACGAAGGTTCTTACAGCCCCGAGTTGGGATACAACCCTGAAAGGATACATACAGCTGTTCAGCGAGCGGAAAGGAGAACTCAGCTTCCGCATCTCGGTTCATACTGGCATACAAATCGACCGGGCAAATGACAAGCTCGACACGCTAATAATAAAGTACGTCGCCTATCCTGACCGATTCCTTCCCTAACATGGTCCTGATAAGATCTACCAGGATGGACGTTGTGCTCGAATTCTTTCAGAAGGCCCTACCACAGGAGCAGCTCGTTCTGGCCGAAGTGGTTCGCCGTAGTGGCGGTACAGAAGCAGTGCTGAGCAAAACCGAGGTGCTGCAGGAACTGCTCCAGAAAGAACGGCAGCTTGAGACTAAGGAGGTATCTGCCCCTGCTCCCTCGTACACTAGCCCCACAGTTGGACAAAGCGCATACGCTGTGCCGGGTAGCGCGCCACTCGGGGCGCGCGCGTATTCACCTCGATATTTACGTACTGCAGGTCATTCACGAGGGGTACGAACGCGGAGGGACAGCTACGACTATCGACCGAGTGGCCTCTACTATGGCGAGGGCAGAGAACGCCCGCAGTCGGCGTATCTCGCGGCCGCTACACCGTATATTCCCCCTCAAAGAACTATTACTCAAAGTACTCCGTATGACGCATATGGATCGTATCTCCCAAACACAGAGGAGAACGTAAACCAGAGCTCGGAAGTGGCACGATTGATGCAAGACTTGGCAGACGAGCCCGCGGTAGCGATTCGACGGAACCTCGTACGCTTCGAACGGAGGTTCGCGATACAGCAGAAGGAGATATTGGAGGAGACGAAGAAGATAGTGGTACATGAAGGCGATCGAGTCATCCAATCTGTATTGGCAGGGCCGCACGAACGGATCGTTGACCAGGTATGTTTGTGGTGCGCATCAGAGTCCGTAACACTGTTCTGACATTTACATAGGACATGTACGAGATTTGGAAAGATATGGTACGTCTCAATTTGAATACGCATTCGCACTGTAGGGGCTTACGGGGACTTACAAAGAGGTGGCGTGGTATCGTCGAAGCTCGCCATCTCGTGCTCGCTATCTACGACTACTACAATCAGCGCCTCGAAGATCAGCACCGTGCAATCGCCAGCGGAACCACACCGGCACGCCCGATCCCCGAAGAGGATTTGTGGGCGGTGCAGTGCATCGACTTGATGCATCTGCAGACGCTTATGGAGGCGTTCGACAGCGACACGTCGGGGTACATCAGTGTTCAGGAGGTGAACAAATTCACGACGTCGCGGCCAAAAGGATGGAGGTATGTTGCCATTAGAGTGTCTCATGCTCCTTCATTCTCATGTAAGCCCCAACTTATGCTTCCAGTCTGCTTCGCTGGTTGGCGTACTGGGCGGTGGGATGGCAGGTGTCGATGACCGAGTACATACACAAGATTCAGACCCTCCTTGCTCGTATGTGGGACTTGCGTTCTTCCGTTCTGCTTTGCGGGAAAGTGGTCGAGGGCTACGTGAACGCTGTTGCATTTTACGTACAGAACATCACGGGATCCTTCGTGGAGGACACCGACCGGAGATATCTTCTAGACCGTTTTCAGGAGTATATCGATCAGGAGGAGACGCGTCTCCGTCACGGATTGGAGACAGCAAAGTACGACCTTGACTCGCCGGATACCCTGGATTTGATCAACGGCCCGCGAGGATTAGAACGCGTACGTGCTTCAAGTTGCCAATGTCAATTGTCAATACTCGCTCATCTTGCTTTGTTGCGATGACTAGAACGTATGCGTCATCCTGTATCTTCTGCTAAGCCGGCATTACGACATCGTGAGGCTCGCGCAAAAGGTGCTACTACACTTTGAAGAAATATCCGACGCCGCTAGCGTGATAGTCGTTGTACGCGATGCGTTCAATTACCGTGTAGATGAACTAGCCGGTACGTCGTTGTAATTCTTCAGACTAGATGCGACTTTGATTTCCTTTTCCCTCGGCCCAGGCTTGTTCACGCAGAGGCGTC